CTTTGGCCTGACGGAGTTGTCTGAGTTTTGCAGTGAACCATGGTTTGTCGTTGTTGTAAGTTAAATGAGTCCTGATAGGAATGCACGTGTCTTCACAGAAACTGATATAAGATGTCACAGTCTCTGTGAGCTCGTCCAGATCGGTGGCAGCAGCTTCAAAAACACTCCAATCAGTGAGGTCAAAACAAGCTTGTAGATCCCGCTCTGCTTCATTAGTCCATCTTTTTACAGTCCTTAATACAGGTTTAGCTGATTTCAGTTTCTGCCTGTAGGTCGGTATAAGATTAACCAAACAGTGTTCAGAGAGCCCCAAAGCTGCCCGTGGAACAGAGTGATAAGCATTCTTTATTGTGGTGTAACAGTGATCCAATATATTACTGTCTCTGGTGGGACATGTGATGTGCTGTCTGTATTTTGGCAGTTCACAGGAGAGATTTGCTTTATTAATGTCCCCAAGAATGATTAAAACAAGTCCGAGTGTTGATCAGCTAGTTGTTGTAAAGCCAGGCTTACGTGCGCTTGCGGAGGAATGTAAACACTCACGAGAATGAACGAGCAAAACTCCCGCGGCAAGAAGAAAGGCTTAAAGTTAATGAAAAGCGCTTCTAGATCTGAACAGCACATCTTCTTTAACACGGTTACATCTGTACACCACCTTTCGTTGATGTAAAAGCATGTCCCGCCGCTGCGCGCATGTCCTGCCCAGCAGATTTAACGCGCTGTCCGGTATGGCGTCATTCAGCCAGGTTTCCGTGAAACACAGAGCAGCAGAGTGTGAGAAATCCTTATTTGTCCGGGAGAGCAGAAGGAGTTTGTCCGTTTTGTTGGGTAGAGAGCGATGTTTGCCAGATGGTTGCTAGGCAACGGCGTTCGAAATCTGCGCTGCCTGAGCTTCACGAGGGCACCGGCTCGCTTTCCCAGTCTGCGCGCCCTGAAGCGCTTGATCAGCGCAGCTGCTCCGCCAACTACTATGCGCAGCAAAACATCAGAATAATCGAAAACCGGTGATATATCAGGTGATGTGTAGAGCCGAATGTCCAGCAATTAGTCTCTGGTGAAACTGATTGCAGGGATATAACTAAAGACAGGACAAACTAACAAAACCACAAAAACAACTGCAGAGCACGCCACGGAGGCTGCCATTGTCATCGGTGCCATCACACACTTCATGGACTGAGTTCTCAAATAAATAACGGACATACACCAGAAGATTAGATGGATTCGCTGTTTTTTCTGCTTATTAGCTGACTGAGGATGTCAACAGATATTGAATCAATGCGACGAGCCACAGTATTGTCGGAGAGAGGGATTTTGTCCAGCGTCTTTGCAGCTTTCTCTCCGAGCATGCAGTTTACCATATATTTGGCAACCGAAAAGCACAGATTTTCTCCAATTGTGTGGGGCATACCTCTTTTAGCTATGTGGTAACTCACCAGATATAAAGATTTCTGTGCATTTTTGGAAGCCCCTAAACCTGAATGGGAGTAGATAATTTTTTTTCTTCTTCTGCAGTTCCTCAAATTTTCCTTGGAAAAAACTCATAGGCATGTCTTTTAAGTGTCTGCGTCTTGTTTGTAAGTGCCGGACCATATATGAGGGCTTGAGACTGCTATTGGCTAAAACTTCACCACAGACTACACATTTCCCATTTGGACTGTCTGCAACACCAATCCATGTAAACCCGAAAGCAATGTAACTGTCGCTGTATTTGCGTTTCTTACTTGACATTTTCTCACTCTCTGATGTAGGCCTAATTCTCTTGACCAGCACATCTCTGTTGGTTTTCTCTGTTCCCGCCTCTTCTCGTTCGTTATCCTCTGTGTCCTTTCGAGCGGGTTTCTCTGTATGTGCAAAGCCGTGGTCGGTGCATATCTCCACAGAAGATGCTGATGTAGATGGCTCACCCCATTGTCCCTTGATTTCTTTAAAGTGCCGATTTTTAACCAGGTGTCCATTTTGATGAATGTAGTAAGCAAAAAAAAATAAATACAGAATGAACTATCACTTAGCGCCTAATGGTAAAAGGGCGGGGCTATTGGGACGCAGACGTGCTTGTAACCGCAAAATATAATCATGAGTAATTTACAGCTTGTAATGTAAAATTTTATTTCTCAATAAACTTGACATGTGAATGTTAGCTAAGTTAAATACATAAAAAATAATAAAAAGACAATTTTTCCACCATTACAAAACATTCTCTCGCACACCCCTGGTGGTCAGTCTGTGCACTCCAGTTTGGGAACCGCTGATTTAGAGCATTACACAAGATAATTCTAATTGGTTCTGCTGTTACACAAGTGCTTAATTTTATATCATCGATGTGAAATGATTTAGAGACACATTAAATGGGTCTTACGTCTTTTATATTCAATTCTGAAGCACTGAATCTCGCGCAGCAGCGACGGACATCTGCTTTCATCTCAAGTTCACGGAGAAAAGAAATATCTGGAATGCACTGCGTTGTAAAAATGCCGCGATAGCGGAAGACGTAATGAAGTCATTCAATATGCGATTTCATTGGATGCGATCATAATCCTCAATATTTTACATTTATATACATTTATGCTCCTAAATAATTTATTAATCACAGGTATATATATTTTTTTCTGGCAGCACTTTTCATCCTTTTGATGTTATTATTTGCTCTATTATTCTGTCTCTGCTACTACCCATTAGTAACCTGGGTTACACTCTCAAAGTCAAATGCAGAAACGTTAATTCATGAGTTCATGACCTCAAGGTTAGATTATTGTAATGCCTTATTGGGTGATTGCTCTGCGCGCAAACTCCAGCTGGTCCAAAATGCAGCAGCTAGAGACACTGCGTCAGTTTAAGTCTAGATTAAAAAAACATCTCTTTAACCTTGTTTACACATAACACACTATCACATTTCTAATATTCAAATCCGTTAAAGGATTTTTAGGCTGCATTAATTAGGTCAACCGGAACCGCAAACACTTCCCATAACACCCGCTGTACTCGCTACATTGTTAGAAGAATGGCATCTATGCTAATATTAGTCTCTTTCATTCTTATTCCTATGTCACCATAGCCACCAGATCCAGTCTGTATCCAAATCAGATGGTCACTGCAGTCACCCGGATCCAGTACGTATCCAACCCAGATTGTGGATCAGCACCTAGAGATGACCTTGACAGCCATGGAAGTCAGCGGAGACCGATGAGCCCCAGATACAGATCCCAGTAAAGACCTTGTCTCAGACGGCCACCGGGACAAGACCACAGGGAACCAGTTGAGTCTTCTGCACAATGTGACTTTGCTGCAGCCTGGAATTGAACTGTTGGTTTCGTCTGGCCAGAGGAGAACTGGCCCCCCGACTGAGCCTGGTTTCTCCCAAGGTTTTTTCTCCATTCTGTCACCGATGGAGTTTTGGTTCCTTGCCGCTGTCGCCTCTGGCTTGCTTAGTTGGGGACACTTCACTTCCAGCGATATCGTCAACTTGATTGCACAGATACTATTTAAACTGAACTGAGCTGAATGAGGACATCACTGAATTCAATGATGAACTACCTTTAACTGAAAAATTAGTGTTTACTATTGTCACTTTGCATTATTGACGTCCGAACTGATTGCACTATGTATAATCATTTTCTATTCTCAACCGTTTTAAATTTAATTTTTTAATCATTTTCAAAGTTTGTAAATTCCTTCTTTTATTGTTGTGAATATATATATATATATATATATATATATATATTATTCTTTTATGTAAAGCACTTTGAATTACCATTGTGTGTAAACTTGCCTTGCAGCGGAGGACCTGAAACCGGAAGAAGGTCACCTGATAACACAGTCACCAGTTAACCGTAACACCGGGAGAGAAGAAATTGCTAGAAATAAAGTCTCTATTTTTGTTCTCTTCAGGCACAAAAAGTATTCTCTTAGCTTCATGACATTACAGTTGAACCACTGATGTCACATGGACTTTAACGATGAAAGCCTTGAAATCGGTAGGACCCTTGTTGTCTATGAAGGGTCAGAAAGCTCTCGGATTTCATCAAAAATATCTTAATTTGTGTTCCAATGATTAACGAAGGTCTTGGTACGACATGAGGGTGATCAATTAATGGGAGAACTCTCTTTTTTTGGGTGAACTATCCTTTTAAGTCTGTACCGTATATTGTCAGCGTTACTTCTTTCAATGATGTTACGATGTGTTTATTTTTTCTGTATGTTCTGATTGAGCTACATCTATTTCAGACGCATGTTTCCATAGGAGTGAAATGTTATGTATATATTCATTATTAATTTAACCAACATTTAAATCATTAACTTCTTCCAAATCCATTATGTTAATAAAATCATTTTTGAAACATTTGCAGTTACAAATAAAAACAATATAACAACATAATTACATAAACGGTGAATAATTGTACAAGATGAATTAAGGTATATGCACACAATTTTATTCAGATTTCAGAATAAGCACTTTGTAATTTGTAATACATTTGTTGTGGATCTCGTCCATCTGATGTTCATCATGTTCATATTATGTTTGCTACTGTAATGAATATGATACTTATTTTTTATTTAATACAAGAGAAGCAAAGAAAGATCAGTCACAGAGCTACATGGCAGTATTTCTTGCATCTGCGTTTTCTAAATACATCTTAAGTGGAAGAATAACTCAGTCATTTTAAAAACAACAATGAAGAACATATTAAAATGAAATCTGTCTTTCGTAAAAGTGTTACAGCCTCTTCTTCAGCTTCCTGAACAAGAACAGTTTGTAAAAAGCGTCTACTTTCCTTCATGAAAGAGTAAGCAAACTACAGGTGATGCATATGCATTATAAGCCAATTGAACATAATATGAAACTTATAAGAAAGCAATGATACACAAGAATACACCTTTCTGACATTGTTCTTTGGGGAGGAACTCCATCTTTGAGTTGATCTGAATCTCACAGTAGAATCTGCTGGTTTTGAAGATGAACTTCATTCACTGTGAAACTTTAGATAATGTTTCTTTGTCATGTCACTTGTAATGTCTGGTTAGGACAGATTTATCCAGATGATATTTTATTGTTTAATGCATTATTGTGTCTCATTTGGTGAGGACGCAGCATCAGACCTGAAAGTGCTGATCTACTTACTGTGAATGTTTTTTGTATGTCTGTGTAGAGCAGATGAATTATTGAAACACTTCCCACATACAGTGCAGTGATACGGTTTTTCTCCAGTGTGAATCCTCTCGTGTGTTTTCAGATATGCTGCCTGACTGAATCCCTTTTCACAGTGTGAACACTCATAAGGTTTTTCTCCAGTGTGAATCCTCTTATGCCTTTTCAGATGTGCTGCCTGACTGAATCCCTTGTCACAGTGTGAACACAAATAAGGTTTCTCTCCAGTGTGGATCCTCTCATGCTGCTTCAAATTGTTCACTGAAGTAAAAGTCTTTTCACACTCAAAGCACATGTAGTCTCTCACACCAGTGTGTGTTTTCTGATGTTCTTTCAAAATTTGTAGACGTGAAAAACTCTTTCCACACAAATAACATAAATGCAGCCTCTGCTTTGTATGAACTCTCATGTGTTTCTTCAGGTATGATGCCCTCAAAAATGATTTGCCGCATTGATCACATGTGTACAGCTTCTCTCCAGTGTGGATGGTCATGTGATATTTAAGATGTGCTGATTGTGTGAAACTCTTCCCGCATTGATCACAAGAGAATGGCTTTTCTCCAGTATGAACGTTCATGTGCCTCATAAGGTGTCCTTTTTGTGTGAATCTCTTCCCGCACTGATCACACGTGTGCGGTTTCTCTCCAGAGTGGATCCTCTCATGTCTTTTCAGGATTCCTGAATGATTGAATCTCTTGTCACAGTGTGAACACTTCAACAGTTTCTCTCCAGTGTGAACTCTCATGTGAACATTAAGACTACGTTTGCTTGTCAAACTCTTTCCACACTGAGTGCATGTGAAAGATTTCTTGGCTCTTCTTTTCTTTAAATCTTTCTGTTTGGTTTGAGAGCAACGCCAAGGGTTTTCTCTGGTTTTGACATGATTTTTCTCCTCAACGTCACTCAATTCTTCATTCTCCTCATTTCCTTCTAAAATTAAAACAAAATCAGTTAATTTGTCAGTAACATGGGAAAACAAAAACAGAAATGTGAAAGGACATAAAAGTGAACCCTTGTGTAACAGTGTAAAGGCAATTTCTGTACAAAATTTTGTTCTTTTTGATGCAATTTGATCAATTATACATCCCTGAAACTTTCCATGGATGAGGTACATTAATCTTCAAAATATAATTTTTAAGACATTATAGACACAAATACCATGTTTATAGAGAGAACTATTAAATGTTTGATCAACCACACAATCATCTAACATACATTTATTGTTTGCTGCTCCATCTATATGATTATTCAACAGCTCTAAAGATTGTTTCTATTACAACAAACTAAATCTAAAACTGCCCGAAACTTTGTAACTGTCAGTATTATTAAAGCTTTGTAAGCATAATGCACCACAAAGAGTCATTAAAGATGAATGAAGAATAAACACCAACCTCCTTGTTCCTCGTGTTTTATTCTGCAGGGTTCTGGTTCCTCTCGTTTTATTCTGCAGGGTTCTGGTTCCTCCTGTTTTATTCTGCAGGGTTCTGGTTCCTCCTGTTTTATTCTCCAGTGTTCTGGGTCCTCTTGTTTTATTCTGCAGGGTTCTGTTTCCTTGTGTTTTATTCTCCAGGGTATTGGTTCCTTGTGTTTTATTCTGCAGGGTTCTGGGTCCTCGTGTTTTATTCTCCAGTGTTCTGGGTCCTCTTGTTTTGTTCTGCAGGGTTCTGGTTCCTCGTGTTTTATTCTGCAGGGTTCTGGTTCCTCGTGTTTTATTCTGCAGGGTTCTGGTTCCTCCTGTTTTATTCTCCAGGGTTCTGATTCCTCGTGTTTTATTCTCCAGGGTTCTGGTTCCTCGTGTTTTATTCTCCAGGGTTTTGGATCCTCGTGTTTTATTCTGCAGGGTTCTGTTTCCTCGTGTTTTATTCTGCAGGGTTCTGGTTCACTCATGTCCTCTTCACTCTCCTCTTTAACAAACACCATCTTCACAGCAGCAGATCTCAGTTCAGATGATACTCCTCCAGATATTCCTGCTTACTAGAAAACTTAGTCACGACTGTGAGGATGAGAATATTACAGGTATTTACTGACCTGATTCAAAAACTGTATTTTTCTATTTACAGAAGGTGCATTTCTAACAGTTTGTATTACACCAGCATGAAGACAAAACAACAGAGCTCATGGAGAAACGAATCTTCTTCCTCTGAGGTTTAATGGTGTTTGGTGAACAAACGTTTGTGTTTTAGCGCCACCCGCTGGACTGGAGTGTAAAGCATCAAGAAAATAATATAGAAAATAATATGGGCAAAATTACTTAGTGTGTGTACAAGGTGCGCTGTGTGTTCCCTTAAAAAAAGCCGATCTGCACAAATAAATGAAAATAACTTAAAATGATAAACTCGCATGGTATTTGATCAGCATCAACAGTTTTCGTGAGGATTAGAAGAGAAAAAAGAGTGAATTATTAGTGACATATTTCACTGAAAATCACACAACATTGCAGCATGTAAATATGGAAATTAAGATAAATGAAAACACGTGATAATGATAAGATAATAAACAAAAAATTAAAATTACCTTTTCCCCAAATAATCTTAATACCCCAGAAAGAAAAAAAGTTTAAACAAAAATACAGGGTCTGAACTAATTCCCTGACTAACCAAAAAACAGGAGAAAACGAATAGGTTACAGAAAGAAATTACACCCAACCCCTACAGCTTACATGCTGAAATGAAGTGATATGTACAATATTTACAACAGCAAGCGAAAACAATCAATCACGTTAAAAAAGAAAGAAAAAAGCAATCTGTTGAAAACTTTACAAAAAAACCCCAAAACAACGAAACACTTTGTGGGTAAATTGAACAGAAAAGAAAAAGATCAAACCGAGTTCACAATATTTACACAAAAAGTCGCTATACAGAGTTTATCTTTCTTTTCTTAACAACAATCAGAATTTCAGCCAGCAACAACATCCCACACCCAGATCAGCCTCGCTGCGTTTTTGAAAGATGCCCAGTTCCAGCCTCGACCAACCACGGGGCACGTACCAGCATGTTAAATTAGGGCGGGTCCATCTGTGAGAACGACAGAGAGAGAGAGAGAGCAAGAAAGAGAGATGCATAGACACCACATACATCTCAACGTAACACCCCCACCCGTAAAAGTCAAAATCCCATTTTGACAAAAACAATCAACAACATTTTATTGTTTCTTCACGTTCTATCAAGAGCATCAGCTATAACATTTTCGGTACCATTCTTGTGGCGTATGTCAATGTTAAAACCCTGAACCACTAAAGACCATCGCATTAGCCTTTGATTCGAGTTGGCCATGCGTAGGAGGAAGACTAAGGGATTGTGGTCAGTGTAAACCGTTATAGGTAGGGGACTACCACCGACATAAACCTCAAATTGCTGAAGGGCAAGGAGTAATGCTAAGGCCTCTTTTTCAATGGTGCTGTAACTGTTTTTTTTTTAAGTAACCCACAGGATGGTCAATTCCGGCTTCACTTTCTTGCAACAAGACCGCACATGCCCCTAACACACTGGCATCCACCTCAAGTTTGAAGGGTCTTGAAAAGTTAGGGGCACTACACATGCGGTCTTTGGCAGCATTGGAGGCGTTATTGCATTAATGACTCCAAGTGAAAGCTTTGGATTTGCTCAACAAATCTGTCAAAGGGGACACGACAAGAGGAGAAATTTTTGCAGAACCCACGGTAATATCCAACCATACCAAGAAAACGGTGCAGTTCTCTTTTAGACTTAGGGATGGGAAAATTCACAATTGCCTCAACTTTGGCATCCCGCACCTGTCCTTGCCCAACCTGCTTACCCAGATAAGTGACCACAGCTTTCCCGATTTCACATTTTTTTAGATTCATTGTTAAAGATGCTTTGGCCAACCGCGCAAACACTTCATGCAGAGAGTTCCTGAGGTCCCTCCATGAGCTAGAGTAAATTACCACATCGTCAAGATATGCTTTGCAGTTTGCCACACCAGATAATACTTTCCGCATCAACCACTGAAACGTTGCGGGAGCATTTCGCATCCCAAAAGCCATCACGGTGTATTGAAGTAAGTTATCTGGTGTTACAAATGCGGAGACATCTGAGGCACGCTGCGTAAGTGGCACCTGTCAGTAACCCTTTAATAGATCTAACTTGGTTACAAAGGATGAGCAACCAACATGATCAACACAGTCCTCCATCATAGGCAATGGGAAAGAGTCTGGCTTTGTGACACTATTCACCTTTCTGTAATCTGTACAAAATCTAAACAAACCGTCCGGCTTCGGCACTAGCAGGCATGCGAGCTCCACGGACTCGAACCGGGAACTGCTAGCAATCTACCTCCTTCCTCATCTCCTCTCTCTTTCAAGGATTAACACGATAAGGATGCTGTTTAATTGGTGATTTCGATATCATGAAACAGAACGTGGGTCTGACTGGGGCTGTCTGAAAAGAGAGAAGATCATTTCTGAATAAGAGAAACAACATCTCTGCATTGAGATTGTGGAAGATAAGACAAATGTTCTTCTATATTTTGCAATATTTCAGAATTGAACAGTTTACTGTTGGACATAATTTCAGTGGCCACCAGTCCATCATCCTCAGACACGACAACAGAGGGCAGAGGAGTAACTGTCACTACAGGTGCCACATTCACAGAGGGTTTAACAGATGTTGTACTACTCACGTAAGATTTGAGCCTGTTAACATGACAAACACAACTTTTTTTTCTATGCTCAGGGGTACGAATCAGATAATTTACCTCACTTAATTTCTCTTCCACCACATAGGGCCCTGAAAACTTAGCCTGCAGTGCAGAACCTGGAAGTGGAAGAAGAATTAGCACCAAATCTCCTGGCTGAAAACTTCGTGCTACACAGTTCTTGTCAAAACGTTCTTTCATGTCAACTTGTTTTGAAGCCAAATTTGATTTAGCAATTACCCACACGTGATGTAAGCACTCACGCATTTGAGTCACATAATCACACACTGTCACAAGCGACTATGTTTCCAGTAAAAACTGTTCTCTTAACAGTTTCAGAGGCCCACGCACGGTATGCCCGAAAACTAATTTGGCTGGACTGAATGCCAAAGGTTCTTGCACTGTCTCACGGACAGCAAACATCAACATCGGCAAACCTTCATCCCAGTCCTTCCCTGTTTGCATGCAGAACGTGCGCAGCATGGACTTGAGAGTCTGGTGGAAACGTTCGAGCGCGCCCTGAGACTCGGGATGATAGGTGGTCAAAAGTTGATGCTTAACAGCCAGTTCGCTGAGAACCTGGGAGAACAGTGTGGAGGTAAAATTAAAACCTTGGTCGGTTTGAATAATTTTTGGTAGACCAAATGTAGAGCAGAATTTAATTATCTCTTTTACCACCGCTTTAGCCTTTATACTATGCATTGGAATGGCCTCTGGGAAACGCGTGGCGGCACACATCAAAGTGAGTCTGTATTGATAACCCAATTTAGATTTTGGCAATGGTCCTACACAATCAATGATGATGCGCTCAAAAGGCTCACCTATTATGGGGATCGGGTGTAGAAGAGCGGGAGGAATGTTTTGATTTGGCTTACCAGCCAACTGACAAACATGACATGGCAGTGAGTAAGAACATCAGACTTTAGACCAGGCCAAAAAAATAACGCAGCACAGTATCATAGGTTTTCCGAATTCCCAATTGGCCAAAAAGGACATGGTCATGAGCAAGATTTAATATTTGGGAACGATAACCCATGGGAACAACAACTTGATGAACACTATCGCCGTTTTTCCACTGTCGCATTAAAAGCTCATCGTCAACAAAATAAGTTACCTTTTCACTAGGAACTTTCGTTCTGTCAGCTACAGCCGCAAAACATGATGCTAACAATGGGTCAGCCTTTTACGCCGCCGCCAATTGTGAATGACCCAACTGTAAGGAGGCAATATCACAGGTAGAAGAGGCTGGTTCTACATACAACTTCCCTGACATACCCATAGACTGCAGAAAAGAATCAGACATGTGAATCACATCTTCTTTAAATTTCCGTGCCTGGGCCCGTGTAACCACACAGGAAGAGAACACTGCTGGAAACTGAGAAGTCAAGTAATTTTTCTCATCTGTTATGGGATAGTTAACAATAATTGGGGGAGGGAAAACTGTACCAACCGCTATGTCGTTTCCCAAAATAATATCCACACCTTAGGGAGTTCAGGGCAGATGCCAACACACACTTTACCCATAACTATATCCATTTGAATGTAGACGTTATGGAGGGGAACTTTTACACAATCTGCTCCTATGTCCCGCAAAATTACATCAGCACTCGTATAGGTTTCATGCGACAAAGGGAGAGTACCAGCTAGCATAAGATTCTGGGCCGCCCCTGTATCTCGTAACACAGACACTGACTTGGGAATGCCATCAGCGCTGTGTGCTATCCACCCCTGCAACATAAATGGTTCATATCCTGCAGCATTTTGATCAGATGAAATACATTTTGCCAAGGTTTGTACAAAACCCACACTTTTAGGCTTAGCTGATTGCATTATTTTTCTTCCAGGCCTTGCAATCTGCAATAAGATGACCAGCATCAAGGCAATAAAAACAGGCCATGCCACCCCCCGTGCGATACTGAGCACCTCTATGAGCTTCAAAAGCTCCTCCCCTCCCAGGCTTTATAGCACACGCTGACCCCTTCACCTGTCCTTCAGCACCATGGACAGCAAACTTATCATATCTCACTACAGGAGAAAAATTGTTCGGTGTGTGGAAACAAATTTGTCAGCCAGCACAGCAGTCGCTGAGAGGGTTGTGACTTTCTGTTAATTTAAATGCACAACTAAATTTTCAGACACACTGCTCTTAAAAATCTTCTAATAAAACTAACTCCTTTAAAGCTTCAAAATTAGTAGTTTTACATGCAGCACACCACTTGTCAAAAAGAGCTTGCTTTTCTCTGGTGAATTCTACAAAAGTTTGTCTGTCTGCTTTCTTATGGGCTCTAAATTTTGGGCTATACGCCTCTGGCACCAACTCATAAGCACGAAGAACAGTCTGCTTCACCACGTCATAATCAAGGCTCTGTTCTATCGGCAGTGCAGAGCAAACCTCTTGTGCCTTGCCAACTAGCTTACATTGCAGTAGAAGAGCCCACATCGCTCTCGGCCACTGCAATGTAGCTGCAACGT